AACATCTGATCTTATCTTTTAATATTGATATCTAATTGAGGTCAACTGATGATTTTTATTTTTTTTTTTAAATATAAACATTTTCAGAAGCCACTGGCCTTTGGCTCTAAGGACCCAATATATATTTTTCTATAGATATATATTTTTTATGTATATTATTTGTTAAGATTTTTCTTTTTTTCTTTTACAAAGCATTACTGGTGCCCAGACGGAAATGTGTAACTATTCATATATGAGACCCTGGACCACAAAACCAGTCATAAGGGTAAATTTTTTGAAATTGAGATTTATACATCATATGAAAGCTGAATAAACAAGCTTTCTATTGATGTCTGGTTTGTTAGGACAGGACAATATTTGGCCGAGATACAGATATGGAACATGATCTTTACGATAAAAATCGACCATTTTGACCCCTACAATGTTTTTTTTGGCTATTGCTAAAAATATATCCAAGCGACTTAAGACTGGTTTTGTGGTCCAGGGTCACACACATATATATATATATATATATATATAGTCCGGACCTCCACTGTGAAGGAAATATAGAGACCGGACCTCTTGGAACTTTAATTGAATACCCCTACCTAGGGTCTTAATGAAAAGTCTATGACATACTTTGGTTAAAATTTCTCAATGGTAGTGTAAAACAAAACCCTATTTACCCTGTCAAAAACAGCTCTGTTCACAGCGACTCGTTTGGGTGCATGTCCCTTTAAATGCTAATGAGCTCTGCTCACCCCACCCCTCTCTTCCATGGGGTGACGAGCCATTCTCATGGTGCTGTTTACTTTAGCGGCATTTAGCCACGGAACTTGCTAACTAGCACATTATTAGGAAAGGCGATTTGCTAACATTCTCACTTCATCTTGTAGGTGAAGCTGGATCACAAATGATTCGCGCAAACTTAAACACATTTAGGTAGATCAGGGGGTGCATTCCCTTCACAAACAAAAGTAATCCTCTGCGTCTTCGGCGGCTCAGATGGCGGGAGTAAATGATGACTGCTATGTTCATTATTACATTAAAACAACAGAACACCTCAATCGCTTAGGAGCCATTCTTATTTACCCCTGCTCCAGCATCGAAACAATGGCGGACTGATGACAGCTCACTCAGAGCGGGTCTATGGTAAAACGCCATGGTCAATCAACAATTGTGGGAGGGGCCTTGGCCTGTGTGACGTCACACAGCCAAGCATGTGAGCATGGCTTGATTTGAGCAAGGGGTAATTATTTATGGCTATTTAAAAAAGCACTGGGTGGATTTTTATCATTATAGGGTGGATGTGTACACACACTGCCAACACACATTTATGTTCAAACAACATGTAAAAGTGAACTTTGCATCCGATTACCCCTTTAAATCACTAATTATTTTATAACACTTAATATACTTTGCAGATTTTAAAACATATTTGCATTTCATGCTTTCAAACAATGGTGTTGTGACTAAATTCACTTTTAAAAATATTGTTTTTATTTATATTTAATTTTAATTAAATAGTTAACAATAATTTTATTTCTTAATTAAATTTTTAATTATATTATTTTATGTTATTTCATTTTTTACACTTTCATTTTTTTTTACACAAAATGTAAAAATGTAATGTAGAATTAAATATCAGCAATTAATGCTTTGTGATTTATTGAATAATGATGTATGCATTAATCATTCAGTAGTTGTCAATATCCAACCCTAATATTTTTGGAAATTTTGAAATTACTGGTCAATATCCCTGCTTGACCAATATTGTGTACAAAATTTTCATATATTTCTTCAGTTTTATTTGTTAATCTTAATTGCTGTCATTATAAATATTTTTATTTCAGATCTTAGTAGTCAACCACTACTTAGAATTCCAGAGTTTAGGTAACAGATATGCAGAAAGAAATCTTGACACGGTCTTCCTCACATTGCAGCTTAATTTGGTCAACAACCATCCATTTAAACAGTAAGGCACTGTCTGACCAAAACATAAGGTTACCAACAACAGTTTGCTTTGTTTCATGGGAAATAGATATCTATTTGAAATCGATATCAGGTGAACTTGTACTTGTTTAAAGTGCCTCCTAAAAAAAAAAAAAAAAGAGTATCATTTAAAGATTTAATGCCTACCTACATGAAAACATGATCAACTTTGGCAAATCCAGTGATTAATTGTTCCTCAGAAGTCTAACTGTTTCCAAGTGTACTGAAAAAAGACACTGTGTACCACTAAGGCCCAATCCCAATTCTACCCCTTAGCCCTTCCCCTTTCCCCTACCCCTCCGTTTCGCGCGTTCACGTGAAGGGGTAGGGGTGTCTCGATTCTCTTTTGGTTGGAGGGGTAGGGGTAGGGGAAGGGCCAGACAGCCCTTCAAACGAAGATTTTTCGGGACCACACTTCAAACGAAGGGGTATGAATTATCTCAGCGTAAACCGGCTTCAGCGGCAACATGGCTGCCCGAGTGAACAAAAAGACACATAAATGTAAGCATTTTTGGCATTAATAAAGATTTTAACGAGAAGTAATCATTTGTTTTATGTTACATTCAATCGTGAGTTCATATTTACGGTCATGTTACTCAAAGAAATGTTTGCAAAAAATCACTAATACGTCATATCATTACAGACTGCACGATAGTGCCACAACATATTTTCATGCCTGATCAGGGCGATAACCACCGTAGACATTGAGGGGGGCTA